ATTGCACTTAAGTTAGGTAGTGATCCTCGATCATCCTTAAATAGAATATAGAGACTCTTTTTGGTTGTTTAAAACATGTGTTGGTGATAACAAAGTTTTCCTCTTGGCAGATTTAACACTCTGTCAGATTTAGACACCAATCTGTCACATCTTTCGTTTCTTTCCCCAAGACCGAATCCTCCAGTAATTCCGGGAGTTATGTCTTCTCCTACTTTAGCGTTGAAGTCTCCCATTATTACACAAATTTAGTGTTTTTTGTGTTATTTAGTGCTTGGTTTAATACATGATAAAATTTATTAATTTCGTTGTCTGTACTGTTACTTGTAGGAGCGTATACTTGTATTTAGTTAGTTAGTTTATATTAATCTTACTTTTAATAGTTATCATCATTATTCGCTCTGAAAGAAGAACAAATTTGTCAACCAGGTTTCCAAGTCCTCAAGAATTATAGCAACACCATTTTCATGAACATCATCCGTTTTTCCGGAGTAATAAGTAATATAACCTCCACTTTTTACAGTTCCCGGTCCGGTCCATCTATCTTCGCTAATTCCAAGGACTTGCAGGCCCAGACGTTTCATTTCGAGTTGTACATTTTTTAGCTTTCCTGATTGATATAAAGTTCTAACATTCCACGTAGCAATATGTTTTATTAATGATCTATTTTTATTTTTATTTTTCCTTCCGGAGATTCTTCGGACAGGGGTGCTGTCCCATCAAAGGGACTCCGGAGACTCGGCGCCGTAGTATGATTTGTATTTGTCATGGAGCTTTTCTTGGGAAATTTAGTGCAGTAGTTTCCCATTGCTTTCTGCACCGCAGTATCACAGCCAGTTGAATCATTATGGGATTGCCGCCTGTGGGTGTCTGTCGTCAAACCTGCTAGATGTCGTTCTAACAGCCTTGATTCAGTAATGGCATCACTGCTGCCTAATGCCATGCTCTCAGTTGATCCGCGGGTACTTATTTGGCTAAGCCTTATTCGTGCCTGTCCTGCATATCTGCAGGAACATTCCCTATCAGCCATTGGAACGCGCCATATCGGGGTTGAGGACATCCCCCGCCCAGTCTGTCTTACGCAAAGTATTGAGAGGCTCCTACTTAATTCAAAGTCCCTCCTCTACGCAAGCTGAGACCGGCACGGTCTCAGCTTGCGTATATATATATATATAAATATATATATATATATATATATATATATATATATATATATATGTGTGTGTGTGTGTGTGTGTGTGTGTGTGTGTGTGTGTGTGTGTGTGTGTGTGTAATAGAGTACAGAATTAGAAGTATGGTCATTGTAGTAATAATAGGATATTGTTTCACAACAGTAGCATAGATCGGTATCATGTTATTGTTTATACTTTAGTCCAGTTAAACGCTCGTTAGAATATACAAATTAATAAAACAATCTTCTTCTTAGTCGTTAACCTGATGCAGGTATCGTAATATCATGAAGCTATTAGCTAAATTTCCCAATGTTCCTCCACGTTTTTCTATCTTCTGCCATTCTCGCACATTCTGACAACCGAGTGCCAATGGTAGCAACAATATGGTCCGTGTATCGTGTGGGACCTCTATTTCTTTTGCCTTCTACCTTTCCCTGGATGGTAAGTTTATCAAGACCATTTCTTCGAAGCACATGTCCAAAATAGCTTATTATTTGTTCTGATATTTTTGTTCTTAGTCTTTTATTTATGTTTAGCATAAATAAGCATTCATTTAGCATTAATAAAACAATATATTGAATACAAATACCTTGTATTATGGTTTTAATTAACAAAGGACCAAACGGAATCTAATCCCGACACCAACACCAGATTGTGATGGTATAGAGCAGTGGAGAAAAAATAATTAACGTTCTTAAAGTCCCATTTAATAGATGTTTGGTGGCTAAATAGTCTTCTCTACCGTCTAAGAATTGTTCATATCATAAAGATACTAATAAGACAATTAATTCTCAAATTAGATTTATATCGACCTATCGAGCAGGCATGTTTCAGACTACGAGAAAGCGTTTGACTCGGGGGACCAAAATAAAATAATCGTTACACTAGCTGATTGTAAGGTTGATACACAACACTAATAAAAATCTTCAATCCAGCAGCAACCCAGACAGCACAGGACATCCCTGGGACGTCCATTTTATGTCGTTTTAAGGTCCAAACGTCCCGGGACTTCTTTTGGACGTCCGAGGGATATTTCTAGTCGGACATACCAGAGACGTCCCATAAGGTCGTCCAAGGGACGTCCCATTAGGGATGTATTAGGGACGTTTTCCTGGTGTCAACTGTGTCATTTTTTTACTTAAGCATATTTTTTACAAAATATAATCTTCCTACTAAACTTTATTTTAAAAAGTTATATTTAGTTTTAAATACCATTAATTTATACGAAAACAGACAGAGGCTCCTTTTAGAGAAAAATCTTTATCCTATAGCAGAGCTGTATCTCTAAAATTTTGTTCTGTAGTGGAACTGAAATTTAAAAATTAGGAGATAAAAGAAGAATGTGGTTATGTTTTAACGACGCTTCTATTTATCTCGTTTATTTCTCGAATTATAATCATTGTGGTTGTGGTTGTAATTAGAATTAGTTTATTGCTTTCGATACTAGTTTATAGTTTGGTAATTTACTATTATAGACATTAAGTAGGTATATAGGACTTTTATAGGTAATTTTTGTGGTTGTGTTGTGTTGCTACATTTGTAAAGTAAGTAGGAGTAATGTGCTTAAAAAATACTATAAATTTAAATACATATGTTAATATAAGTACAGAATAAAAATCCCATTTATTTTTGCTTTTCATTTTATTAATTTTAAGTTCCCTTTAGGTCCTGTATACATCCTCATTTAGGTCCTATATTAGTCCATGTGGACGTACAATAGATGTCCCCAATACATCCTTCTTAGGTCCTATATAAGTCCGTATTAAGTTCTGTATATGTACTATGTACGTCCCCATGAACATCCCTGGGACGTCCAGGGGACGTACTTTTTGGTAACATTTAGGTCTTATTGGACGTCCCGGGGACGTCCAAATTATGTAAACGGATGTCCGTGGGATGTCCGGACATTTAATGAGGTACATCCTTTGGACGTCCATGGGACGTACTTGTGCTGTTTGGGAAGTGTGGAACCACACACTAGTATTTACATTACCATTTAAAATGGAGCACGGATTACATCAAGTTTATCATTATACCAAAATTCTTTATAATGGTACTGCCAAAATTTATGTTTAAAAAACTTTAGTAACAGAACATAAAAATCAAAATCAATGTAAAATATTGTTTAATTTCGGCTTTGCTGAAGATATGTTGGATCCAAAAATTGTTAATCGCACTAAATCTATCTTCAAAATAAACAGTTTAAAAATCCAGTTTATGAAAATCTTAGTTATCAGCAGCACCATATCCATTAATGGAGTATAAACCGAATATATAATATCTTATAGATATTTTGGCCATGAACTTACTCTAGATAACCAACTCTTTACACGTAGACTAAAATTAGTTTGGCCAAGCTGAGAAATATGATGTTTAAAACCAATTTCCTGGTATACTAATTTATCTGAAGGGGTAGGTTTTTGTAATACTGCGTACTCTCAGTGTTGACTTACGGTGCAGAAATTGGCTAGACACTGGAAACGATAATAAAAGTTGTGGACGATTTACAATAACTCAGCAAGGTATAGAGCCTTACATCCTACATTGAATACAACAGGTTGTGTGATGAGATAATATATTAGTACCTCTAGTCTACATGTATTTGACTGCATTAGTCCACTCTACGTCTATGTCTTTTGAAGATACTATTACCGCAGTATATGGCCTCCATCTACTGGTTTCTACAGCTATTAACATAAAGTTTGTACTTCCGACATAACTTTTTATAGTATTAGCATCGAAGAATGCTTTTATAAGAGCCACGGTAAACACAACGTCGCTAAAACCTATAGGTATATAGAAACCTATATTAGGGAAGACGACTTATCAAATATTGTGAGGTAGGTGGTGTGGTATGTTAGGCTAAAATTAAACAATATACCTACTGGTATATTGAGATATACGAGATTTACCATTCATGATTAAAAGGGGAATTTACTAATTAAATTTCCATGGTAAGTGACTGTAAAGAGTTTCGTACTAGAAAATAGAATCATAGGTGTTACCTATGATTCGTTGTGTCACGTAGGAGGCCAAATATTAGGTATTTACCTAAAACAATTCATTATAATGGTTAAAAATATATATAATATAATGGCAAATATATAATGGCAAATTTTAAAAAATAATGACTATTGAAAGTGCTTACATAAAAGCAAAAGAAGATTTAGTTAGAAAACCAACTTTCTGCAAGTATGTATATGATTAATAAATGCTTTAGTGTTTTCGATATGGTATTTTTAATCTTTTGAGTAAAGTGCATAGCATATGTTGCTTTTAGTGCTGTTTTCTGTTTGCACATCCCAGGGTCCAGAGACAAATAATTGAATTTTTTCAAATAATTTGAAAACCCAAAGTTTTTTGGGTTCAGATAAATATGTTTTCAATGGTCTAAAAAATTTCTGGTATAAAAAAGTTATACCACAAAATTATAACAGAAAGAGTCATATATTTAAGTTATATAAATTATGAAGATATTTACAATATAATTATAATATTGAAAATTACATTCCTCTCCTAAAGAAATTATCTACTTGCCATAGACCATTTTTCTTTTTCCATTCACGTCTATACATTCCCCGAAATGACAGTACATTAGTTTTGACATGACAAATTATTTATTTTTGATTGCTCTTAAAAATGTCAAAATATTCCTATCTGAATTTATTACCGACACGCCGATGTCTAGAATAACAACATAATAAATTATATTCCTAGTAAAGGATAATCACTTTATCGTTTAACCTTGTAGATTGTAAACGAACTGTCTTGATAAATATTTCAACAGTATTGCATAATAATAGTAACAGTGAAGTTGTGATTCTATTTTAGTTCACACTTTGTCGCCGGGTTGTCGCAATATGGAGGTTATTTTCAAAGGAAAAACAGCTCTTGTCACGGGTGCCAGCCAAGGAATCGGTAGAGAAATTGTTAAACAGTTAGTTAAGTGTCAAGCAAATGTTATTGCCGTTGCAAGAAATGCCGATAATTTAGCATCACTCAAAGAAGAAGTACCCTCTATAAATACCATACCACTTGATTTGTCGGACTGGAACGCCACTGAAAATGCTCTCAAAGATGTTGGGCCGATAGATTTGCTCGTTAACAATGCTGGTTTAGCAATTTTGGGCCCTTTAACTGATGTTAAAGAAGATGACGTCGATAGATTGCTTGCTATTAATGTCAAAGCCATAATTCATGTATCGAAAATTGTAGTCAATAATCTTTTGGCCCGAAAAGTACCCGGATCTATTGTCAACATCTCGTCTCAAGCTTCTATGGTCGGCTTGAATAACCACACCGTATACTGTGCCTCAAAAGCTGCCGTGGATGGTTTTACAAGAGCCGCTGCTCTGGAATATGGACCCAAAAACATCAGAGTCAATGCAGTTAACCCTACAGTCATTATGACAGATATGGGCAGACTTGGCTGGTCAGATCCCGCTGTTGCTAAGCCCATGTTGGAGAAGATACCATTGAGACGTTTTGGAGAAGTCCACGAAGTAGTCGACGCAGTTACTTACTTGTTAAGTGATAAAGCTAGTATGATTACCGGTACATGTCTACCCATTGATGGAGGTTATGTTTCTTCGTAAAAATATTGTTAATTGACCGCAAATGAAAGTACAAAGCTATTTCTACTTTTTATGTATCACAAAAATTTAGTAATGAACCTTTTTTGTGAGAAACATTACGATCTGTAAGTGTTGAATAAATTACTCGAATCTATGTTTAGTTTAAATTAAATTTTCCCCGTTGTAAGACCAACAATGTAAGTGTAAGTATTTTTTCAATTTCATATAATTAAATTAAAATTCAAATGTTAGCTTAAATAGATTAAACAGACAAAATATAACTAATCCATTTTGCACTAGAAGTGGTCGAATAGTAAATAATGCAAAAAGATTTTCGTTTTCAGAAGAATAATGTGGCAATGTAATATTGGAAGTATATTTAATTTGTTTGGATAGTTTAGTTTTGTTTAAAAAAGGGGGGGCATGTTATGTTGTGTTAAGTTGTAAACCTACCTTAACCCTTAACTTGGCAAAAGAATAATTTTGAATCTAAAAATCTGAAAATTTGCTGTTTAGGCATCATACAAATATTCTATAACAACAAAAAATATATGATATTTATATGTCACAAATTTGTATTGTATACCAGAGTATACACCGCCAAATAGACCGAAAAATAGGTTTGTATAGCATATCATATATTGCCAAATTATGAAGGACAAGTAATATGAATAAGAACTATCAAAATTTAATCAAAAATATTCATTTATTAATGTGAACATCCATAAAACAATTCCTGTTTTGCAATAATCCTAGTCTAATATTACACTTGTTTCAAAATATGGCAGTTTGTCCCTTCTTGCGATTTCTGCACCGTATAGTGGAAATTGATCCAAGAAATCTAATCTGATCATCTTGGGGTCTAGGCTTTACCGGGTTTTTAATTTTTTTGGAAGGTACTGTTAGCTGCTCATTGCTGGGACATCCTCTTTTTATTTTGTCAGCCTGCAGTAGACTTTTGGCAGTATTGACAGTTTAATTCTAAATTGATTCAAAGGAATGACTGTTTTTTATCTTCTTGTAGAATACTTGCATTACGTTTATATAGTAGCCAAGCATTGTTAATGGATATATCTATAATTTGAGAAAAAATGCTCATATACCATATGTGTTTTGAAGCGTATTCTATATAGAGCAATCAAGATGTCTTCCAAATCTACACCACCCATATGACTGTTACAGTGATCTATTTTGGAGAATCTTTGTATGGTTGCCACTGGAATCGAGGCTACATAAGAACTACATAAGGTTACGGACTTTTTATCGTACCACTTTACAACGACAATGCGACTATCATTGTCTACTCTTTGGTCAAAAGAACCTCTCCCATCTTTTTTATTTTCTTATCAGATTCAAGTCGGTCCCTGTAATCTGTCTTTCCTAATAGTTCCCAAAGAAAGAATTCCAAATTCACTTCCAAGATATGTAGTAAGTTCCAAACTTGTAAAATAATTATCGAAACAAACCGTCAATAAAGGTTTATTTTGGAGTGTTGGACATAGTGCGAAAACACATTTGGTCCAAAATCCCATGTTATTTTCCTTATCTATAAAACGATGGTTTCCTCCATAGGGAAATAAATCATACACTATCGCCGATACGCCACAACTAACAAAAATTCTGAAACCCTATTTTTTTATTTGTTCTTCACATATTGTCTTCTCGAGCCTTCCTTTACCCCGTTGTATGAGGCCATCATTTCATACACTGAACATCTAGACTCTGATTCAATTGTGAGACAATTTCTTTCTACACGATCTAAAATAGGCCTTATTTTGAAATATCTGTCATTATTAAACTCCTCACTGTTGACAAAATGTAGGCTTAGTAGTATTGCTTGATACCTCTTTAGTGACATTACATTTGCTATAAGTTCATATCGCGTCTCTTAAGACCAATAGTCCGCCATGTCAACAATTCCCATTAAAATTTCGATAGCTAAGAAATAATGTATCTCATCTATATTTGTGTCTACACATTTGTGAAATGTTTGTGTCAAATACAGGTTAGTTGGTTTTACGATTAATTTAATAATATCTGGACTAAAAACGGTTTTAAAATATTGCAAAGGTGTTTTTATATTTTGGGGTTTTATAAAATCAATACTTTGTTCTGTTGTTACCTCATATTCAAAATTATCAGTCGTCCAGTTGAATGAATGCTCATCTTTTTCCCCTTTCATTTTATTGAAGAACTTGCTTGTTTTTGTTTTTGTACAGCTTCTTCTATCTCTTCTTCAGAAGTTATATTTTCTTCAACATCATCTGTGTCTTATGTAAATTCTTTCAAAAAATTACAAGATAATACCTCTTGTTCGTCATCACTACTACTTTCTGGGACGCGAGCCATTATTTCATTAGTTCTCCTTTTTTTAGTCTTTAATGTCAAATAAGCCATATCGGGCGGTGTATACTATATAATACAAAAAGTTTTGATTCGATTTGCTGAAAAAATATTTACAGTAGTACAGTACAGCAAAAATTTGTTTATACATAAAAAGTATAATGCTTCAAAAATAAGTTCCCAAAAAATTATTTACTATATAATAAAAACCAATAAACTGATATAAACACTTACCACTTGTTGCTTGCAACGACATGCTTGCACAGCCTTTTTGTCGAGACTGAATCCATATAGCGTCAAAACTAAATGCGCGAAATTAAGAATTTTCGGGCCTATTTCCAATCGGCTACATACGGTAGTGTATACCTACTCAACTATACAGTGCCAAGAACTGGGTTTCAAATACTCTTGATTATAAAATAAAAAATTTGAAATATTATGTATAACATTCGTTGCCAAGTCAAGGGTTAACATTAGTGACATGTGAAATAGAAGAAGAAGCACTGAAGTTATAAAATAGAGGCAATATACAGAAATTGGTCGTCTATTTTTAAAAAAATCCACAGTGTATAAACAAACATATCCACACAGAAAACGAAGAGCATTACTATAGCTAAAGATCCAATTAGATGTAAGCTCGTAATGGAGAACAAACCAATAGAACAGCTGAACCAATTCAAATTTCTCTGCTAGATTAATCTAGTCACTATGGCCCAGTCAGAGGTCTAAGAGTGCAGATAAATAAGGCCGCAATTTTAAGTTTTAATCATATCTTGAAGTTTTAAGAGATGTTGTCTGGAATGATCCATACATGCAAACAGAATTTACGAACAAAAAAATATCAGGTCCGGTTTAAAAAAATTAGTTCATTTTGTTCATAGAAAAAATTTAACTCTGTATACGGTTTTCGAAAACTCTAATAAAAATTTTACAAATTAGACAAATAGAAATGGCATATTTTTCCTCACACGATTAGTTAATTTTTAATTTAAAAAATTAAATTTGGCTATAAATTAAAAGTTTAGCAAAGTGAATCATAGATTAAAGGTGTTCTCCTTTGATTAATATTGAGAACACCTTTGAATAACTGTTCTGATGAGACCTATTAGGTCGAAATACGTATCAACAGATACAAAGGCGCTTTTTGCGTGAAATCAAATATTTGCTGTCTTTTCACTTTTTTCGGATTTACTCTGTACGAGTACTAGAAACCAATTCGCTAAGGATTTCTGCTTAGTTGATAAGACGTGTCGTGGAATGCAAATTTTAGATTCCCCACGTCTCTTTTAACACCTTTATCAACGTCCGTTTTGCTTTGCAATTTTTAGAAAGCACAGATTAAAGCAGAAATCTGAATTGTGTTTCGAAACTGTTTTTACGGTTTAATTTTTGACGTTTCAATTTCCACTTCAGAAATCGTTCTCAAAATACAAAACTTTAATCAAACAAATGTTGTTTTTTGTTACTTTTTTATCTGACTTATTTGTATTGATAATTCAGGCATATATTATACATTTTAAAGTAGACGACTTCAAAATGATATTCCCAATATTGCTGAGTTGCGTTCCTGGGACGACTGTATTGTAAGATAGTCCATTCGATTACATGAAATCAATTTTAACTTGTGAATATTTGTCAAAAAATCATAGTATGTGATTCGTCTTTAAAAAGACAACTACATGCAATGATGACAGTAAATTATTCTGTTAGTGATTCCATAGTAAATCGTGAGGAGAAAACCAGGGAAAAAACCTCATGATACTAGCCCGACATAGTAAGTATTTTGTCTTACATTTAGTTTACTCTCAATAATCACGAAACTCTCATTTTATAAGTATGTCATTTAAAAACATACATATGGGTATCCTCGATATATGTTATTGACTTATTAATAGTTATTCTTTTTATTGATTTCCTCTTTTTTAAATAAAAATCCATAAATAGAAAATAACATAAGTCAATAACATATCGAGGATACATCATTTATGTGTTTAAATACCACATAAAATCAGATTTTGCAATGTATTGAGAGTAAACTAAATGTCATACCAAATACTTACCATGTCGGGATAGTATTATGAGATTTTTGTCCTTGTTGCAGAGTTGAGATTTTTAAGAAGAGCTAAATATTGCACAAGAAGTGATCTAATAAGAAACAAAGACATAGTTAATCAGCTAAATTCATACGTTATAAAAGATAAGATAGCTGATTATAAACGAAATATAAAAATAAAACTATATAAAATCAAAAGTCTGCGCAAAAAAATCAACAATAGCAATCCAAAAGGCCAGAAAAATGTATGAAGATGATCCAAAAAGATTAGTAATTCTTTTGTGAAGAAGGAACAGGCAAAGTCTCTAGTCTCTGTAGGGAACGAGTTTGTAAGAATATTAATAATAAATTTTATTTCAGGATAGAGAAGAAATTCTTAAACAACTTACATGCGGAATTTTCAACGAAGATTTTGAAGACAAATCTACTAAATCTCTTCTCACCACGCCCACAATCTCTTATACGCAAAGCGATAGTAAAACTACCAAAATTTGGACCTCCAATACCATAGACGTAGATTACGGAATGCCAACGAGACACCGAAGAGAAACTGAAGACACGTTAAGTGCTTCGTCAACAGAGAGTACCGGAAAGATCACACCTACTTTGGAAATATCAACAGGTAAATATATGTATAAATAGTACTTTACATTATAGTGTAGCAATAGTTTATTTCAATCTGTTTCTTAAACTGTTTCTTTAACAATAGTTTCTCTTATGTGTGCTTGCAAAACCTTATACATAATCAAGTGTACAAGAAACCGCACTAAGCTCTCCTTTTTATAATTATTTTTATTTTATGAACTTATGAAAGTTCTTCTTAAATATTTCTTCTAGATCTATTTTACTAAAGAGTTGGATGGAGTTGCGGTACGATATTGTTCATGAGTGCTAACACATTTTTTTGTCTGCCCGTTGGTATCTATCTGTAGATGTCGATGAATACAACTGTTTTTTTGTATACCTTGCGGTATCAATACCTTTAAAAGATCTGAAAAGATTATCGAAAGGGTCTTAATAAAAGAAAAATCCAAATCCCCACCACCACAGGCAAGAAGACGGGCTACATCCAATTGGATAGCTAACTTAGTTAGGGACTGAGTGATTGCTAGTACAACGAAGTCGATATTTTTCGATGAAACACAAATTATACTGAATTGCTGAAAAAATTCATAGATGCCAACAAGGTTATCGAAGTATGGAAGCAATACTGCGATAATTATTACATGATATTAATGGAACATTGAATCACAAACCAGATTCTAATCAAATAGAGACCGAACCTTCAATTCTAAGAACGACAGTGGTAAAGGCGGTGCGATCACTAAAACATAATAAATCCCTCGATGGCATATCGGCAGAAATAATTAAAGCAGTAGGAGAAATAGGTATCGATACAATAAACAAGATATAAGTAATGATTTGGCAACACAGTAAGTGCAAAGATGTGAGTTATTTTACATACTATTACACAAGAACAGACTAGAGCAACTACAGGACAATAGCTCTCTCTTAGGTTGCATCCAAGTAATATTTTGCTTCTTATTATATGCGACCGCTTAAAACCTTTCCTGTTCTGACAGATACCTTATAAACAAACAGGTTTTATGTACGGAAAAAAAAGAGGGAGCATATTTTAAATGTCCGACCAAATAATGGAAACAGTATATAAATTAAACGGTAAAACAAACCCATTTATGCTTCTTGGATTATACTAAGTCGTTCAATAGCTAAGTCTTACACCAAAGTCTGGTGTAAGACCATGCTGTATTGTATCATCCGTAATATTTAATATATAATTACAGTATATTACAAGGATAAAGAAGCGGAATATCGATAGGTCTCAAAAGAATCAGGAACCTCTGATATGCGGACGATACCATAATTTAGCCTGCTGAGAAGATAAACTATTCTAGCATTATTAGCCAGCTGAAGACGCTGTGCAGGGAATATGGTCTTAGGCTGAACAAAAAAAACTCTAAGGACTGGCAATAACTATAAAACTAGCTAGTATGTGGAGGTATATATATATATATATATATATAAATATATATATATATATCTATATATATATATATATATATATGAATAAAATAAAACTATTATTATAAGGTAAATTTAATGGCAAACGACCACGCAGAAAGTCTCCCACACACTGAATGTATCAAGTCTGAGAATGAGGCTTCTACCTTGCAGTCCAAAACGGAGAAGGATGAGATATTTTAAGGATCTGAGCAACCGAGACATGATATCACTATGCTCTTCCGATAGTCAAGAGATAAGATAAAAAGAAAATCTAAAAACTTTGTTCCTGTCATTTTATTTTGAATTTTTTGATAATATTTACATTATGTATGTTTTCTTCTTTCGGTACTTTCTCCATTATTTAAGGTTAATTTTATGTTGGCGAATTGTTCTCTATATTGTTCATTCTTATTAGATATTTGTCCATTCTGGTTCACTTCAGATCTGATCGTTAGAAATCAGATAGACTTCATAACAATTAACAAACGATTCCGTAACGCAATAATATCAGCCAAAACATATCCTGGAGCTGATATAAACTCTGATCATAATCCTCTTGTAGCCCAATTACGAGTAAGACTAAAAACCATAATCCAGAAACAGAATAACAAAAGATTAGATATGGATCAACTTAGAAATCCTGAGATAAAAGCCAAGTTTACAAGTAGCATTAATAGTAATGTTGCTTTAACAACCAACACTGATGATATTGAAAGAGACTGGATCAACTTAAGGGACGCTATATGCAACGGTGCAAAAGAAGTAATTGGTGACTCCGAGCGGAAGAAGAAGAACGAGTGGATGACAGATGAAATATTACACCTTATGGAGAGAAGGAGGGAAAATAAGAATAATCCCGAACAATATAAAGAACTGGATAGAAACTGTCAGCAGAAAGATAAAAGAATCCAAAGAGAAATGGTTGCAAGAAAAATGTCAAGAGATAGAAGAGCTAGAACGAAGACACGATAGTTTTAACATGCATAAAAAAATCAAGGAGTTTACTTATACTTACAAGAAAAAACAGTTTGGTAGGTTAATAGACGAGAACAATAAACTTATTGTAGATAAAGAAGAACAGTTACAGACTTGGACAATCTACATAAAAGATTTGTTTACGGATTATCGTCATATTTCTACGAACACTCTTGATCTGAATGGACCAAAAATATTGAAAAGTGGGGTGATAAAAGCTATAGATCAAACGAAAGATGGGAAAGCAACAGGATGCGATGAAATACCAGTCGAATTCTTAAAAGTTTTTAACGAGAACAACCTTAATGTAGTATTGGAACTGTTTAATAAGATATACGATACTGGTCAAATTCCATCGGACTGGTTGAAATCTACATTTGTGCCCCTTCCCAAGAAATATAATTCTAAGACGTGTAGTGAATATCGCCTTATAAGTTTAATGAGCCACACCCTTAAAGTATTTTTGCGTATTATCCATTCCAGAATACGAGCAAAATTAGAACACAGCATAAGTAAAACACAGTTCGGTTTTAGATGCGGTTTTGGAACTCGAGAACCCCTCTTTGCAATACAAGTTTTGATTCAAAAATGCCTGGATCAACAGAAAGATGTTTACGTTTGTTTTATCGACTATGAGAAAGCATTCGATACTATCAAACATGACAAACTCATAGAACTATTACGTCTTTCAGGACTTGACACTAAGGACATCCAGATTATAAAAAATCTATATTGGAATCAAACAGCCTACATGAAGAATGGACATATGGTGAGTGAAAACATAAATATTTCTAGAGGGGTAAGACAGGGCTGTATTCTTTCGCCACTGCTTTTCAACCTGTACACGGAACAAATATTGCTAGAGGCACTAGAAGAGTACAATGAGGGCATCAAGATTAATGGCGTACCAATAAGTAATTTTCGATATGCAGATGATACTATTATACTGGCCGATAACATCGAAGATTTACAGATGATGCTACATAGAGTTAATACAACTGGCAGCCGATTTGGACTGAAGATCAATAGAAAGAAAACTAAATTTATGGTGATCAGTAAAAAAAAATTTCAACATATCGACCTGCATATTGAAGACGAACGTATTGAAAGAGTACACCGATTTAAATATCTGGGATATACAGTAAATGACAAGTGGGACTCAGAAGTAGAGATTAAGATCCGAATTGAAATAGCAAGATCCAAATTCATCAAAATGAGAAAGCTCTTAAGCAGCCGCAACCTAAGCATTAACCTCCGATGGCGCGCCACGAAATGCTACGTACTCTCTACGCTACTTTACGGCGTAGAAGGATGGACGTTAACAGCAGCAACTATAAAGAAGTTAGCGGCTCTAGAAATGTGGCTGTATCGGCGCATACTGAGAATACCTTGGACAGACAGAGTGACCAACACAGAGGTATTAAGACCGAATGGGTAAAGAGGTGGAATTGTTAACAACTGTTAAAAGAAGGAAAGCGTCATACCTGGGCCATGTGTTCCGTAATGATAAGTACAGTCTGCTACAGCTTATCGTGGAAGGCAAGATTGAAGGTAGAAGAGGTTTGGGCAGAAAGAAGAAATCCTGGCTGAGAAACTTGAGAGAATGGTTTCAAATACCAGAAGCTGCGAACATAATTCATGCGGCACAAAACAGAGAAACCTATCGTATGATGGTCGCCAACCTTCGGTAGAAGACGGCACATAAAGAAGAAAGGTTCACTTCAGATCGTTTTCAGGTTCAGTTTCTTTTTCCCTTCTTGATTGTTGCAAGAATTATATCTAAAAATTGCTCTATTCGGAATATATTTCACTCAGGATATATTTAACAATCTTCTAAAAAGCTATACGAAAAAACTGAATATACGTAAATTCTAATGAATGGGAGTCATCCCAGAGAGTGTGTTGGTTATTTGTTGTTTTGCTATTTTTTGCCTTTTTTGTATTTTTTATAATTTTTTTATGGCTTTTGGGATGAGGATCGGCTGAAGGCTGGAATTAGTCGAGCGTTGCAGAGCTATTTACATACTAGCTTTCAGTCATTTCCAAGCAGTTCCCGTGTCTGTGATTCAATCGGTGGAAGACCTCATACTTTATAACCTCTTGTAGGATGTGGTTAAGATGATCCATTAGTTCAGCAAATTTGTTTCTGCTTTGTCGTCCATCTGGTCTAATACTCTGATTTGTTGGGTATATCTGAAACGGAATCTTTGTATATTGTGATATTGGATATAGGAAAGGATCATTACTTTTTGTTATTTAAAAGATTTTTCTTTTTAGCAGCAACAACTTACGATACAGAAGTCACCACTAACGCAGTATCGAGACCAACATCGTCTTTGGTTCCCATTGTCATGAATCGTGCAACACAAAATATTCCCACAACATCTACATCTACTAAAACCAAATTAGCAGTAGCGCCCACCAGTACGATCGGTAGATCCACGTATCTTACTACAACGGACAATGTGACTCCTATCATTGAAACTGCGCAAACCTCTACAACAGTTGGAAGTATCACATCTACGACTGATGCCAGAGCAATTAAATCTACACCTAATTCAGTGGATAAGGATATTGTTATTGAATACCCAAGTGCCATTAGTCAAGGACAACTTTTTAGCATTATTGAAAATGGTAAGGCAACTAATGTACTTGTGGATGTTAAATAACCTTATTTGTTTTCAATATTTATACTGGTACATTCATCCTTATCAATTAAATTATTTTTATGATCATTATCACAACTACTATAACATTCATACTGTTCCCTTTGCCTTTATCTCTATATGGGGTCAGCTTCTCTCTAAATAAATAAAAGCTATAAATTTATATCTTGCGTCTGGACATGTCGTGCCTAAGCTTTCTCTTCTTTGGTCTTTCTCTCGTACTCCTTTCAGAAACTTGCAAATCAGCTAATCTTCATATTGGCTGATTAACATCTTCACGTTGAACATGCTCTAACCATCTTATATGTTCTCCCATGTTAGCATCGATTGGTGTCACTCCTATAACTTATACTATGTACTTTTAGGCTTTCCTAATATTTGCGTTCTTAATTTTTGAAGCGAATTCCTTTCAAACTATACTAAAATTTAATTTTTAAACGTCTTATTTAGTTTATATAATAGTCAAATTTATTATAAAATGATATTTATTTGCCATAGGAGCAAGTATATAATTTTATTAAATTATTTTACTATAATGTAATTTGTTTAAAATATAAATAACAAGTTAATAATAAAATTACTTTACTTAATTTTAAAAATATTTAAATTTTAAAACTATAGAAAGCATAGTACGAAGTTTCGCTCGAATCTACTGTACTGCCCACTGCACCACCTTTTTTATATTTTTTTGTCACTCTACTCATCCAACTTAACATTCTCATTCCAGCCATATGAACTCGTTGTTCATATTTAGTTAAATACCAATCCTAGGTGTTTAAAACTATTACTTTTTACAATCGTTTCACTATATCATTTATAATAGTAACTCCATATTTAAATGAATATTCCAAATATTCTGTTTTTGTTCTACTAGGTTGTAAAACTTTTTTCTTTAGATCCCTTTCAGTATTTTCTACCAACCACTATATCGTTAGCATACTGTAAGCACCAAGGAATGTTACCCTTAGTTTCCCTATTATTTTATTCAAAACTAATAAGGTTAAATAACGACTAAGCACTGAGTCCTAATGCAATCCTAGTTTCACATAAAATTTAGTCTCGTCCACACCTATCCTAACTTCCTCGTTTGCTATTTTGGTGATAATTGCTGTCAAATTGTCAAAATGTCAAAAAAGTATTTGTTACAACGTTTTTTTACATCCTTTTTGTGAACTAGTACCTATTGTATTATTTTCGTTGTAGATACATCTAATCTGTTACATTTTTGCTTTATTTACAGTAAACGATAAGAAAATATAATTTGTGTTACTAGAAATAAGGCATCCATTTTTTCTTTTGTCTAGGATGTCCCTAATGATGTGATTACTTTCTATATTTCAAGTAGTTCTCGTAATCGAATCGATTTTTGTATCAGTGTTGTTATACGAGTATTTTACTTTGCTATTACGTGTTTTGTACTTTTACTCCTTATTATTGTTAAGATATAACTTTAACTTAATGCTTATCTTATTTGTAGGTACCATGTTTGACATAATTGAGCTGAATGAAACATCTGATTCAAGACCAATACAGACGCAGGAAGTAATCAATGTCGAAGCAAAAACCTTAAAACCGTCAAACAAACTTCTTCAACTGGATGAAAAAAATAGCAAAATTCCTGCTGATCCCAAAACCAAACCACTCTCAAAGAAAGACCTCTACAAGAACGCCGACCCTAAAAAGAAGAACGCGCAAAAGAATTCCGATGATAAAATCGTTAAAGTTTTAGAAGCCAAAGAAATAAGCACAGACAGTACAATTAAAGAATTTCTTCAGAAACGAGAAGAAAAAGAAACGGTTGCACCGATTACCGAAGAAAAGAAAATGGATAAAGCAGCTTTAAAAATTATACATGTAGAAGAAAACAAAGAACCCACTGAAACTCCAAAAGTAACACAAAACACAGAAGATGTAAAAAAGGCTGAAAGTAAAGAACTAGTTGAGAGTAAAGAAGAACTTGATTTAAATAAACAAGTAGAAATTTTACCAATAAAACAAATAACTGACGAAATAACTGTTCAAAAACATGAAAAGGATATAGAAATGAACTTATCAAAAGAAGAAAATAAAGAAATTGAACTAAAAGAAAATTATGATAACAATAATAAAGAAAGTATGGAGGAAATGGACTTAAACAAAGAAATTGAAATATTTCCAGTAATCCATGATAAGTCTCCTCACCTAAACAGAACATTCAGAAAGGAATTACCAATGATGGCTGACGAACCATCTTTTGACGAAACCAAGGAAGTGGGAGATAATAGACTAGAACTGATGGATATTGACGAACTTGGTCCAAGAAGTGATGATACAAATGATACAAAGATTGATCCAAATATCGATCTTCTGAACAAAAATATCACAAAAAATAACGACAGTGAACTTATAAGTCACATAGACAAAGATGTTTTAAAGAAACAGCTGTTGCCAAAACCACTACAAGGTCAAATGGAAAATCCAATTGTTAAGGAAGAAAAACTTACCGAGCAAAAATCTATCAAGAAAGAAGAAAAGCAACAAGATTTCGTTAAAACAGACACTTCAACAGAGGAAATCTCAGAGAGTGAAGAAAACAGCGATCATCCTAGACCTAACAGACAAAGGCAGTTGACAAGGCCCCACGGTAGGCCTTTTTATCCAAATTTCTTTAGCAGGGTCTTAGGATGAACTAATAAGTAGGCGTTTTAATATAAAATATAGTTTGGAGTGGCACTCTAGATTTGTTGGTGGTATATTTGTTATATCTTAAGAAATAAGCTGGAGCAAACTTTAATACACTTTACTCAACAGTTACAATGGCTAATGGTGTAACTTCAAATATTTAAATAAAAGACAACAATTGCTTTAAAATAACCAAAGCAGAGTCTTTTCACTAAAAAGGGCATACACACAACAAAGATCATATTCTTTTGTTTTTCATAATCTCTTGTCAGTTATTTAAAGGTGGCAATTACTAAGGAAAGTTTCAAAAAGAAAATAAATATATATTTATTTCTTTCGATGTCCTTTTCTGCCTTGTATTTTGCGTTCTTACTGATGATTTGAAGTAAGAAGTAATTTGATTATTGTTATTAAAAAAAAATTTAACAGTAATAACAGACTAAAAACTAAACAATGGGATAAAACTGTGGTTGTTTAAAGAGCAGGTTGTTTTTCATCAGACAATTTGTTTAAGATGTGAGTTTATATAATATCTAATTGACGTTTAGAAACAAATTACGTTATTTTGTAACTGTGCATTATTTTCTGAAATTATAGGCTGTATTGTGAAATTGTTTCTTCACGAAATTTCGTATCTGCGGAAGACATATCCAAAGGCTGCTGCAGTTTAAAATTAAGAAGAAATAATTCCACATTGTGACCTATAAATCTCGAAAAACGATGTACCAATATAGTACAGAAGAATTGATGGGATACATTTGTGCTGAAATAGATTTATCTTTGTTGTCTTATTTAAATATCCTTCACAGAATGATTAAGATCATGGTTATTACAACTATGGATAATTCAAAGACCCTCGAATGTTTTACCACACAAAAATGTTTTAAGACAATAATCATTTTGACAAATGTAACCCGATCAGGAACCCAAAAGGATAAACTATATTTAAATTTAAAGAAAAGCTTCTATGTAATACCTACGATTTATATACAAAAGTTTGCTTCAACTTTAATAATTACGATATAACATCTACTTTTTCTACCATTTTTTTAATATATTATATAAAACACAACTGTACACAGGTTTTTCAAAAATATTTCCAAATATGAACCAAACATTGATTGACTCAAATTATAAAAAATTTTTCGAAGAAAATTAAATTCACCTAATATATCAATTATTACTGAATATATAGTTTTTATAGGGCCAGAATAGAATTTTGTCAAAGAAAATATCTGGCTTTAATGGTTTTTATAAAAAATTTCACACTATTTTAAACACATGTTAATCTGTATGTAATGAGAGATAGCCCTTAAGAAATTACGTAACTTTACCAGAAGTATTGCCAACTAGAATTTTGATAGGTCAATGAAGCGGTATCACTGTACAAAAACCAAATGACTAAAAATTTTTATAAGCATTCCGAAATATAAATATACACAAAATATAATATATATATATATATATATATATATATATATATTATATATATATATAAATAAACATATATATATATATATATATATATATATATATATATATATATATATATATATATAAAAGAATATATGATTGTTCATCGTTTGTCTGGTTAATTCTACAAGTACCTACAATATGTATTCAAACAGGTGATATAATTTGATGTGTGTAACAAATTTACAGACCATTCAATACAACAAATGATTGGTATGTGTTATGTGTGCGGAAATGTTTTGTTGTATAAAACTATAAAATTTTGTGTGTACTAATCTGTATGTGTTTATTTTAAATTAATTTAAGGTAATTTTTTGGTACCATTGAGCACTTCAATAGTCAGCAACACTATATGTACTATATGGGGTGAAAGTATGGACCCTGACATGACAAAGATACGAATTGCCTTGTTTATAGCAATGTTCGCAGTAGATAAGGAACGAGAAAAAGAAAAGGAATTTCTTTCATACCTTCAATGGTTCCTGTGTATGTATTTCTAATACATTATTAGGTAACTTACTATTATTATGTTCGGCAGTGCTGTTAGATTAGCAAATCAGTTTCTCCTGTCGTACTGTGTAATCCCATTAGATTCACTTTTCAATATGCCACTTTTACAACCACCTTCTACAACTAAAAAAAAATAATACTGATCAAAGTCATCATTTTTCAGAAATTTCATCATTTCGTCGACTGTGAGATTTAAAAGGTTAACTAAAGTTAGACATTATAGTAAAATGAATACACGCAGACACTAACTGAGCAAACTCTAAATGATAAATAAATGATAGCAAAAAATCCTTTCTTCATACTCTGATTATCCTACATTCTCTTTGAATTTCCGCAGAAACGGATGGCATTTATAAACAGAATATAAATAAAAGAGCATTATGTTATAACTATTGTGACCAAATTATTTGGAAAAAAAATTTGAAATATGAAAAATATTATACTAATAAACATCGCACAGAACAGTTGTTTAAAACAATGTGAAATTTGTTAATAAGTTGTCTAAAATGAAGGTTTTTTTAAAGTTTATTACATGTTGTAGAATATAAGTAGTACATAAATGTTTTCATTGAAAGAAATAAACGTCTTTAGAATGTATTTAGAGTAAGTTTAAGCTTTCACAGTTTAAAAAAGCTATGGTTTGTTATGTTTTATCAATTATAGATTAAGAACCATAGAGATAGATTTTATAGCACGTATTATTGACATTGTAGTGGTACAAAATGTTGCTTACAACATTAAAACCTGTTGTCAAGTCTATATAAACAGCATGAGCAATACAAAACGTCTGTGAACCATTGTAAGCCTCTCGTGAAATGAAAACAAAATTTTAAATATTTTTTAATAAAAAAAAATGATAAAAATAGTTTTCAGATAAACCTGGAATGATTGAAATCAAAACATATTGCCAAAAATATGACTCACTTTTAAAAACTTATTGTGTATACTCATCAAGTAATTTTATCTTATTATACACCTTATTCTCGTAAATTAGGTATATGAGAAGACAATAAATATCAAAAACACGGACTTTTTAATGTTGTTATTAACATTTTGATCTAGTCTTTATAAAAATTATAATAGATAAAACGTTTTTATTTAGTAGTAAAACGAATCTGGTGAACTTACAGCTGTATTCATCAACGATTTACCTAGCTATGAATTTAATAATATTTGGTGTTTGGAGAGTTCTTAAGTACAGGAATGGTACATTTAAATTTGGCAACATTGTCTTGTTCTATTAGATATAGATAAAATTATTAAATGCATTATCATATGTAATAATATTTATTATAATTTAAATTTACTGTTTATTGCCATTATAGTCCAGTCGAGATCTGTTTTGAATTGGTCATTTTCCATAGAAGTCTATTTTTTTGCTGCAATCACTTCAGGATGTACCTTGCATCAATATTCAAGATATACTACAATAGTTTTAAACCTGGTGTTGTTTTATTTAACAAAATCTGAAAAAAAAAAGTTTTTTTTGCGCCCATAGTTTCGCCTATGTGGCAAGAAAAAGGGAAGTGAAAAAAATTTGGAGAAAAAAGAAAACAAAACAGCTAGAAAAGCAATATAAAAACATAGAAAAAACCTACGTAATCCACAGTATTACAGAAACAAAAAAGGTTTACTTCTAGGTGAAAAAACAGAAAATTAAACAGATGTGCGGAATATTTCGAAGATCTATTAAATACTAACAAGAGGAACTTGAGGGAAATGAGAATTAGCAAGAGCATGAAGTCAAAGAAATAATAAGAGACTAAAAAATAACAAAAGTGCAGGAAAAAGAGGTATCCCAACTAAGATTTTTAAGGAAGGTGGCGAAAGATTGAAAGAAAGGATATTTCACTTGACACTAATAATTTGGCAAACGGAAGAAATGGAAACCGAAACAATGTAATAGTGCTCTTATTTGTCCTATCTATAAAAAAAAGAGATAAAACGAAGTGCGAAAACTATAGAGATATAGCACTAGTAGAAGTAGTCTATAAAATACTTGCAAAAATTATTAGGAAAAGATTAATAAAATATTACAACAAAGTGATTGGAGAATACTAGGGAGGTTTTAGATCAGGAAGAACAAACTACTGATCAAATAAGTATGTTAAAATTAATACAAAATAAAAGCTATGAACAAAATTAGAATTACATATGCTATTTATCGATTTTAAACAAGCTTATAACTCCTTAAATCGAACGATGCTATATGAGGCCGTGAGAGCATTAGAAATGCCAGAAAAGCTTTTAAGGCTAGTGAGAATGACGCTTAGGAACACGATGAATAGGGTAACAATGGAAGTAAGCTTTTCAAGACAGTTCACAGTGAATAGAGGTTTAAAACAAGGGTATCCGCTATCAACGAATTTATTTAACCTAGTATTAGAACAAATCGTAAGAAGATCAAATGTAAGCACAAACAGGACTATTTTCAATAGCAGGGAACAGTGCATAGCGTACGCGGATGATGTGGTGATACTAGCGAGAACAAAAAAACATTTAGAAAAAGTGTTCCACAAATTTGAAGAATAAGCGAAAAGATACAGATTAATAATAAACCAAACAAAAACGCAATATATGGAAATAAGAGGAGACATAACAAATAATAACAAATATATCAAAATCAAAGGAGTAGAGACTGTCTATAATTTTGAAAAAGTATCAGAATTTGAATACTTTGGAGTAACCATAACGAACACGTAAAAATAAGAAAAAAATATAGACAGTGAAGGGAAGCAAAGCCATAGGGTCACTAAATCCATTACTGAAAGCAAAAAATGTGTCAAGAACAGCTAAACTGCGAGTCTACAAGACAGTAATCAGACCCACAGTGATGTATGCCAGTGAAACGTAGATTACGAACCAGCAGAAAGAGAAGAAAGTAGAGATCTGGGAAAGAAAGGTACTCAGAAAAATCTTCGGAAGAATAAAGACGGCAGAGAATATTTGGAGAAGACGAACGAATAAAGAAATAATGAGGATGTGTGGAAAACCAGCAATTACGACAAAAATACGAGCCCAAA